AGAGAGAGAGAGAGAAACGAAGCTCTCAATATTTTATTAAAAAAAAATTTTGAACACCATTGGAAATCTTATTTGAATTTCACACAAATGAAATCTCCTTTTTAAAAAATTGTTTAAATTGTTCTTTTATAAAAATTGTCTATATAAACAGAAAAATTAATTAAGAATATTCCGAGAGATTAGAGGAGATATCTAGTATTAAGAAGAAATCTCTACGTACAATTTTATTATAAAAATTATTTTAATTTTAAAAGTTTTATAGAAGATTTTTATTGACATCTACGTCAGAGATCTACGTGTAATACGATGTTTCTACATTTCAGATGGTACGTGTATCACGACCAGTTATATCATAGAAAAGGAACCAGTGACGTGTGAATGGACAGAGGAAGAAATTCAACAATACGTATCGGGCAAAGAAAAGGAAGAAGACGGTGAGAATTCCGTTTTCATAAACAGAAACATAAATTACAAGAAAAAATAAACGAGTTATTGACCGACAACACCTTCGTCTCCATTCTATTGAAGTATCGGATGGAACACAAGAACTATGCTACGGTGTGCTATGACCAGTCAGCACATAACTGCACTTTATCAATGCCCGACGATCTCCGAATCAGAATATCGAAGGAAGGTCATTACGAAGTTTCAATGGCGGATGGAGTTAATCTAAATGTAATCAAAACGAGTTAGATGAGATTCGTTCGAAAGCGAATATTTAACGTAGTAAAACTCAACCAAAGTTTAGATGTATATATACACATACTCATATGTATACATTAAGACATAGATTGACAACTTTTATCAGAAATTACGATTTTTAAATTTATTTTCGAATCAATTTGAAAGTAAAACTTTTCAGAATTGTTTTTGAGAATACTTTCACGAGTAGATACAACGAAAATAATTGCTGAGACTGCTAATCCATTTGAGAAATTCTCCAGAGTTAGATCGAAGAATATTTTATTTGCAAGACTTGAAAATGAAAGATATTCATTTGTAAAAAAAAAATAAAACAAAAAAAAAATATTCTCGAAAACAATCATCGAAAGTTTTAAAATTAATTTTCAACTCTGTTGCTCTTAAAAAAAAAATCAATCTTTTAAATCAACGATTGAAAGTTTAATCTACGAATATCCTTTTTTCGATAGATCACTGAAGACAAAGTATTGTTCAAGGGGAACATGTGCAACATATGCGGCAATCAGTCAACATCCACGTATTATTTCTTCCCTTTCACGATATCAAACATCCTATTCACCACCACTGACGTCTTTGGCAACGTATTCGAAGTGAAAAATGACGGGAATACGAATCATTATCGAAACTTTGAAATTTTGAAATATCAAAAACAATGCGTCGATAATTTAAGCGAAGAATCTTACGAAGAAGGGTTCGAGGAAGAAATGCTTGAACCTTTTTGCAATCACGAGACGCTCAGCATCAAGAGAAACGGTCTTACCTACAGGATATTCGCGATGAATCGAGATTTCACGGGTTACGAGTACATTCATCGTCTCGTTAGGAATCAAGTAGAGTTGACGGCGATGATCGATAAAGATACGAGTATAATTTCGTATCCAAATCCATATCAACCGGTACTTCATCGCCTTGTCATGTTTTACCCTGTGAGCCCAACAAAGATTACACTGGAATTTCCGGTTAGATTAATCGCCTCTATTAATTTTGATATTGGATATTTTAACGAAATGATATAATTTGCCGAGTAATTGCAGAATGAATTGTATTTATGTATTAATTCTGTATTTATATTTATATACCTATATTCTGTATTTATAGATTCTTACTTAATTCTAGCAACGTAGATAAAACAAAGAAGATGGAGCATAATAGAGCTTCGTTTGTTCTTGGCTCTTGCTTGAAGACGAGAAAATAATTGAGAATCGTTTATTCTCTCATTATCTGCATTCATTCTGCAAACTTTGAAATCAGAATATTTTCGTATTTCGTGAATCATGAATTCTAGTTTCAACATATAATATAGAAAATGAATCTGATATCCGATCACATTAATAATTTTGATAGATCCCGTTTAAAAATAAAAAATAAAAATCATAATGAAAGAAAGAAATTTTGATTCTCTACATGCTTTTAATTAAATTTCCCGACTGAAATACAAAGATACTTGATTTTTCATTATTTTGTATTACCTGTTATACGCGATAAAAAAAGTCTCAAAATATTTTACTAGATATTCGTGCTTCCATAGAGAATAGTAAGAATAGTAATTATGAAATATAAAATATACTTTCATAATGAAATTTGTAATATTGTCGAAATTAACTTATTTATAAAATAATAATCTCTTTCGATATTTATTGAATCTCAACTAGGATTTTCACGTGAAGCAAAGGAACTTCGATAGAAGAGAAATATTACGAAGCACTTATTCAATACCGTATGATTGGCTGTTTCCATTTGGAAGGAATGATAATGGTATTTGGAAAAATACGCACGATTTGCCTCTAATGAATCATGCCAAAATTTTGCCGAATATATTGTATATTCGTATTCTGCATGACTTCAAGGAACCAACTGGAAATGCGGTGATCGATATCCAAAGAGCCCTTGGACGCTATTGGATGTCCGTTAGTGAATTAATGTCCTTTTTACGAAGCTACCACTGCCAGATGTTCCAATTAAATTTATCGGGCCGGTCACGTTTTCTTTTGCATATTATGCAAAGTTTATCAGGGTTTATGCCGTTAAAATTATTCGGTTAGATAACGTTACACGGTCAAAATGCTTCCCTTCCAGGGAATTTAACTGATTGAAACGTCACGAAAATAATTACAAATGCGGATAAAGATAGGAAGTAGATTTGAATAAATTTTCTTCCAAATGAAGATAAAAATTAAAAATTTTAAATGATGAATTACGCGTATAATTATTCGTATAAATATGTGAAACGTTTTGTACATTTTGCGATACGTATTTGATAATTTACCTAATATTTCACCCTTTTTCTTTAATTTTAAATTTGTGTATATAATAAGTTCATAAATACTTGACCACTGTCGAGAATCTAAATCAAAAGATTTGTCGTAATTCAACTACAAAAATTTTTATTTCTCCTTTTTAACTTTTTAGTGAAAAATCCTTACCTAATTATATATAATAATATATATTAATTATTATATATAATCAGATAAGCAAATAACAAAAGATATCCTATATTTCTAAATTGAATAATTATCAATTTATATTATTCACATATGCAGATATTAAAATATATTACATTTTAAAAATTTAAACAATAAATTAAACACTTACACAAAATTTACATAAAATAATAATGGTCGAACATCAATGACGATATGTATTAATCTCAGAAATTTTATTCTCAGTTGATTCGTGATTCCGATTTCCATCCACCTCTCATGGATCAAGAACCAATCTCGAAAATGAAGCCAGTGTACAATTATCTCGAGGAAAATCTGCACGAATTATCATTGGGTAAGAAAAAGAAGATCAACATGGAAATATATGAATTCGGGTTAGAGAGAGAATGGATATCAAAGCCGAAGATTAAACGAAAATCGATAAAGTATGACGAATTCATCAAGTACAAGTTGATGAAGAAAGAGGAGCTCAAATGGTACAAACGTTGCATGAAGGAGAAATTTATTCTACCTTATTTTGAGAATATTACTGGCACGTGTTTTCTCTGGATAAAGGATTGTATGGAATACGCGTTACACAATTAAACGAATTTCGATTCCTCGACTTCGATCAGATCGTGACGAAGTTTGTAATTAAATTTGGATTAACTTGTTGTTGGTCGACACCGTGCTTTCTGTGAAATTTTTCCCGGGATTAAATCAATTTGGTCATAGAGCTTTCGTGCCGAGACCACGACTACTCGTGGACAAAAGTTCAAGGAACGAGATAAACTCGCGCGGAACTACGGCTAATAAACAACTTCCGGTGGAAATTAACTGAACGCGATTATCTCAACGAGCAAATAGCGACGAGATGTTGGAAGAAAAGGATAATAGAGGGCGGTCGACGTCGTTTGTATTCAGAAAGAGGGAAGGTTAGATAATTATGAACTGATTGTAAATTAAAATCGTAATTACATCTTTGATATATCATTTGATCTTTGGTCTTTTGTATTAATAATTCCGATGGTAATATCTTCCCATATAAACGGAAAATTTATGATTATTTGATACACTTAATTCGCGTTAGAAACGTTTAAACGAACCGCAAAATCCTATCATCCTAACAATTGTATTAATTGTAATCAATGTAATATTACACGTGAATAATAATAATAAACATTTTAACTATAATTGATATTATTTTCCATCACAATGAAAATACTTAAAGGTATCTTGTTTGAGTACGCGTCTGGCCATGATTGTCTTATTTTATCCGTTCACGATGAATCAAACAAATAGAATAATGCACTCAAAATATGTCGATTATCAATTACTCGAATTTTTGTTATTATTAGATATATATTTCTTCGTGTATAATAAATATCTATACTTAAAAATTCTTTAATTTCACATTATTTTATAAATTTCGTTCTTCCTAACCGATTATTCAACAGAATTTATCTCCTAATTATAATTAATTCACGCGTTAGCCAGAGATAAAACGATTTTAATATAACATTTAGATCTTCAAAACGAAGGAATACATTTTCAGTAATCTTCGATTTCGAGAATCAAACGCAACACTAACCGAAGAAACGGGTATCCTTTATTCTCGCCAAGCTCCCCTCATTTGTAATCAGAACGCGAGCAACGGAAACAGAAGGAGCACACTGGAAACTTGGTTTCAACTTTCAAAGTGTCCGATGCACGTATCAGACCATCACGCGAGAATTTTCGATCAGCTCCTCCTGTTTACCAACCCACATCTACACCATTTATATAAAGCCAAACACCTCGACCCGATATCTAGCATGTTGCCAGGCATTAAAATGAATAACTGACGCATCCCAATAATATCACTCCCGAAAACTCGATCCCTTGTATCGAGTTATGCTAATTGCCTCTCACGCTACACAACACAATCGAATATTCCCTGTTTATCGCACGACACGGGGCCAATATCATCATATCGAGGAATTCGTCGACACCAATCGAACACCAATTCAATCGTTAAAACATTCGTCTTTTAGCCTCCACTTTCGATAATGAATTTTCATTTCTATAAGAATATTAAAACTACGTGAATAAATTATGAAATTATCGTAAAACTCACTTCGATATATAAAGTTCTGAGTGATGAACGCTTATTGTTATTATGCGTGAAATAAAGTAAAATGAAAATCTGTCAAACGGAGAGACTTTGCATTTACATTGGCTGATAGCCTTGTAGAAGCATGGTTGGACGAACACGTTACAATAAGGTAACTTTATATTTTCAATATTGAAGAGTCTGAAGAACAAACGGCTCAAAGAGCGTCGAACAAACACAGAATTCACGCTTTCTATCCATCACAAAAACGCGGAATAACAAAATACGTATGCAACAAGACTATATGTACAGGTAGCATACACTGTTAATATTTTCCAAAAAAAATGTAAAAGCTGTAATTTTGTATTTTTTTAATTAATGACTAGTATAATAACACTCTTAAATTTCGATATTTTGTTTGTATAAATAAAAGAAATATAAAAAATATACATTTTTCCTAATCTCTGAATAAAACGATTGACTGATTAAACGATTTGCAATTAACGGTGGATGAGATGGGCGATGGTGTCGTGGCTTAAGATACCGGGGACATTTTCGTCTCGCATGCACGTTTTTAGCAGCTGGTGATTTCAGGACGCGTGGCAGGAATACGTGTGGAGTTAGAAAAGGGTGGCTTGGCATCGTAAAGGGGTAACAGCCGTCACAGTACCATATGCCTGGGACATTATTCGCGAAAGTAGAGAAGACTCGTAAAAGTACGGCACACGTTTTTATATTTTCTTCCGTTTCCTTCCCTTGGTCGCGTTACCATTCTGTTTTTCCCTTCGTTCACGCGTCTCTGTGGTGGATGGGGAAGGAACGAAAGAAAGAGAAATCTCTGCTTGCTTTCTAAAAAGAAAGTCTTCCTCTGCCCGTTCGTTTTTCCGTCGCTTCGAATCTTTTTCGAGGTGTTGATGATGTTTGTCGGGACTTTATGTAATTTCACCTTCTTTTTCTCGGTTGCAGCGACGTATTAAATGTCTCGTGAAATAAGGAACGCGATCATGTAACCGACGTGGCATGTAATTTCAGATAGTGAAACGATGACTGCGTTGTTTTTATCGTGAAATTTCGCGACTATCTGACGTACAATTGGATGAAGAACGAAAGTGAGCATATTCATGAAAATTATGATGAACTTTCCTCCGTTTAAAATATCCTATTTTTCTTCCTTTATTTTTCAAGATCCGTTGCAATATAATATTCCAAGTTTCATTCACCTTTTACACTTCTCAACTCTTCGAGAGTTATTCCTTAGAGATATCGGTAATCGTGTTTCTATATTTTTTCGTGGAATAATATTTTACACGATAGGTTTGGTGAATTACTTTTTTTTTTTTCATCTGACAGGTGAAATCACGCGAAATCGTTCAGAGACCGAGGGCCGACTCCGTATTTCCGGTTATCTCACACCCTCTTGAAGGATTTTGCTCACGTATTTTTAACCTATATCATTTCCCCGTCCAAAATGTCATATGATCTAACATGCAGCAAGAAAAGATCCACTCTCGTTATAAGTATTATAGTATTCCCCTATTGCATTTCGGTCTCGCTAGGATCCTATCATCACGATCTTTTTCACTTCCATCCACTCTCATCATCAACATTTCTATCTTTTTTCATTTTATCAAGGATGAATTGAAAAAATTACGAAAAATGATAAAATTTAAAAAAAAGCAAACAAGAAAGTCGAAACTTGTATATATCACACGATGTTTTAATGTGTATTCGTATTAAATTATCTTCTGATACTTTGTTATATTTTTCTAATATTCAAGAAATTAATCAGATGCCAATTATCTTTTCGTACTAATTTTCTAGAAATTTTAATTTCACAATATACACGATAACAGAAAATATTCGCACTCATCTAGTTTTCCTACGAATCCTTTTAACGAAATTCTACAATTCTCAACTTATATAATATCAAATTTATAATTGCACGAAAATAGCGAAATATCAAATAAAAATATCGTTATGATATCACTCAAATATTATAATGTGCAGAAAGTTTTCGCAATCAGTCCCAGTTCCCTTTGTAACTCGATGTTCAATTGCTCGAAGTGTTCCACTTTATTCGAAGGGACTGTATCGAGAACAGACTCCGAGGTAATAGACCGGAAACAAGCCTAGTAATACGTAAAATAGGAAAGAGAGGCGGAATACAGATTTCCAAATATCGTTCGAATATATCGAGTCGTGGAGGCGGGGGAGCTTAGCCAGGGCTTGTATACGGACGTTTACGTATCACGTTATTGGACAAAAGTTGCACCATCGGTTTTAGACGCGACGCGATCTGATTTATCGGCCGGCACAGATTTTTCGGTACGAGAGGGAGAAACTACGAGACGGGCCATTTTTCTCAGGCTGCAGCTGGATAACGCGCGACTCACCCCTTCCTATCCACGTTCCACTCTTGTATCTTTTTCCCTCTTTCTTCTCGCTCTTTATTTCACATCTTCCATCGCGTTCTATCGCGCTTCGTACAGTTCTCTCTCTCTCTCT